TTAACATTGAGAAGCTAAAATTTTGAGAGCTAATTTTTTAAAACAATACTCATGCGGCTTTCACAAAACTTGGCAAAATTTGAGTCCTAGAAAAGAAATATGGAAAAAAATTGGCATGTCATTTCAGAAAAAGTCTGATTTTGTGTCAAAATACCTATATTAGAACAATACTATATATAAATCTAATACATATCCTAAGTCGCGCTTTCGAACCATGAAAAACGCAAGCTGAATTTCGTCAATCGGCCAATTTGAACGGGAGACATAGAACTATCCCCCGTTTTTTTCTCCCTTTTTTTCTTTCCTTTTTTTTTTTTTTTCACAGTGTATATATCAGGTTAACAATAACTAAATCAATATCCTTCATTTTTAATTTGGAAAAAGTATATATATATATATATATATATATACCTTTGGAAAAAATATATATATATAAATTTGTACTTAAACATACTAATAAAAACTGCATTATTTCTCCTATAACAATCTCTAAAAATGTGTTGCTACCAAGGGATACAACAATGATTTTGCACTTTACTGACAAGTAAAAATTTAATATTCAAAATACACTCCAAAATAAGGGGCAAATAAAATTTTAAATTTTCACAACTACTGTATTCCCCCCCTTTTTTACTAATTTTTTACCTTCCAAAAATCGAAAGGAGAAAATTACTAATTATGTGAATAATTTTAATTTCCAAAGGACACAGTTACAAGAACATAACAAATGAAACATAGTCATGGAAGACAGGCGATTATCAAAATATATATTTAAAAAAAAAAAAAAAAAAAAAAAAAAAAAAAAAAAACCTTCATTCCAATAAAAATACATAGTAATATTAACATCACACTATCTAACAATGGTATCTACATTTCTACTTCCCTGTAACTTGAATCTTGCCTGTTCTTATTGCTGTCTCTGCTACTTCTTAGGTTTCAAATCATCCATAAATAATTAGTGAAGATGAATGTGAAGCTGACCTAGGAAAATCTTAGAATGAATGTTGGTCCATGTTTGCTTTGCTGTGATTGGTTTGGATCTTGTATGAGGCTGGCATAAAATTCAATATTTAGATGGAAAATGATAAAATGATTGTCACCACCTTTGCAGGTAGTTTGCAAGGGATTGTCACTCAAAAACAATTACTATGAAAGCAATTGCTACATGGACAAATCCACTTTAATATTTAAGGGACCTCATTCTCTGAACATACTGAAGAAAGAGAAAATTATGCAACTATTTAAATTTCTAGAACTCGGAACTAAAATGCTAGGGGAAAAATTACGCAAGTACTTTAGATGACAGTAAGTAAGAATAACAGACATTTAAGCCATGCTCAGAAGAACGAATACTAAATTTGGTGTTTTTTAAAAATAATGAGTTTCATGAAACAGCTTTGTAAAATCTAAAAAATAACAATGTTTCAACATCTTCAATTTAGTAAATCTTTTTGTAAATTGGTGTGCATATATATATATATATATATATATATATAAGTCATGTTAAATTTAAAAAAAAAAAAAAAAAAAAAACAAAAAAAAACTACAGGTTGAAAGCAACAAAATCCTTTCAAGAATTTTCAGTTATACTTTATTTAAGAATTACGACTTAATTCATAATAATAAGAACGTGTCCTGTTCTTTATTTTTCCTGCTGTACCAAGATATCTGTCCAAAATTTTCCGACAAAAAAATTTCCGATCTATCGTAGATTACTTACTGTCTCTTGAAATCTATTTTAAATGGCACAGCTGAATGGTCAAATGTTGTAGCCCTTTTGTCCAAGATCCTATATAAATTCCAATTCCTTGTACATCACATCAAATGGAAGTAAATTGTTGCACTTATGACAGAGACCATATGCTCTGCAACAGGACTATGAAAATCCCTCTGATCATATGTACCTCTTAGCTCATGCTGTGCTTATCTCCCAAGTTTATTGAAAATAAGCAACAAGAGAAATAACCAGGTATTTCAAAAACTACTGAGAACATTCTGATACCAAAATATTTATTTAATACAACTACTAATCTAATTTTAAATATATTCAGTTAAAGAAGCTTTAACAGCAAATAAGGAAATTCCTTACAGGGTACAAAAGATAAAATCTGTATATATATATATATATATATATATATAAAGGCTAAAAAAGTTTTCACTTGCTACCAATATTCACTCAGTTCATCATCAATTATATCTCCATGCTCACTCTCACATGCATTCTGAGAAATGGAGGATAATTTAACTTTTTCAAGCAACAAATAAGCTAATAAGCTTCCCAGGATGCTAAATAACACCAGAAATATTTAACCAAAGAAAAATTAAAATACATGGATCTGAATTCATATTTTGCTATAACATTTCACACATATAAAACACAAAACAGACTAAAAATATTTGATAAGAAAGCTTCAAAATTACTTCATTCATAAACTGCAAGTAAATCTGTAATTTAAAACTTTTATTCAGAACACTCACAAACACCAAGCTATATAAATTATTATACAACCATTACTCTTCCTAACAAAATGGAACACAACTAGGGATAAGTATGACATACTAGCAGATTAAAGGAAAGAGTTCCATTCATGAAAATGAGACAAATTACATTACACACTGTTATTGTGACGAAAAGAAAATATTTCATTCATCACCGAATGTGCACTGCTAAAACTGCACATATATTTCTAATTGGGGCAGAACAACTACTCGAAAAGGAGAATCAAGCACACATGAGTGAGGTTGGATTTCATCAAGAATGGTTGCTGTCTTCCACTGTTACTGGTGCAGATGGATGGATACATGAAATGAAAACGAAATTTATCAGTTTTAACCTCAACAACTTACTTTACACCCATTTATAGTTAAGATCGCAGAAATACTTCAGTTACTTATTATCTAACATTTACCATGCTGCACATGCATATAATGCGGCTGTGATGATAAAAAATAATCAATAAAAATAAAATACATAAAATACTGAAGTATAGATTTATAAAGAAGTATAAAAATATATAGTTTTTGCCCACAGTGTTCAAAGTATAAAAAGCAATTTTTAGCTGAAAAAGATAAAATTCTTAAAAAAAAAAAAAAAAAAAAAAAAAACTATCCTTAATTTTCATATGTTCGCATATTTCGTATGCATAGCAGTTTAATTACAGTTTGAAATACCTGCACATAATTCAATAAATATAGCACTAACATTCAAGATTTGCTCAGAATTTAAACCTTTTGTCTTTCCAAACTATCTTTTTTATTACTTACAAAGATTAACTTGGTTTAAAGGAATTATTCAGTTAACTTTCGCAAAAATACTCAAGTCTACACATTTTTATCTTTCAAGCTTAGGTATTTAATATCGTAACTATATGTTTTTAAAATGTAAAATTAGCATTGTACATTAACAGGAAGAAGTAATGAAAAGAAAGATGGAAAGGATACTGATCATGTCAGATTAGATTTTATAAATATATATTTAGTGGAATATAAAAATAACATTTTCGCTCAGCTTCATTATGATTCATGAAATACAAGAAATTTTACATCTATTATGAAAATGAGACACAAACCGTAATTTAAAAAATATAAAAAAGAGCTTAAAAATATTGGTTTTAACTAATTTTGTTTTTCCCGGTGAAAGTTAGTTATGAAAAACTATATAAAGAACATATAAATATTTACAAGTTACAGAACATAAAAACATAGGTTAAGTGGAAATTAAAAAAGGATTTTGTTTTATTATCGTCAAGACAGAAACTTACATGTAGTAAAAAATAAAAACAGCAATGAAATTAGAATAAAGACTTTTATACATGTGTAGTTTTGTTATGCATTGGTTTATTTAATTGATTTATGTGATTATGGCAAAGCCACGGCAGCTTATCTGTATTGTTACACACTGGATAATTAACATAAAATTTGCAAACTTTAATCTAATGCTTAACTTTAGCAAAAATATACTGACACAAGTGCACAAGAATGAAAATGAGTCATTAAAAATTTCATAACTTTAGCAAAAATATATTGACTCAAGTGCTTGAGAATGAAAATTTTAATGATATTAACTGTGGGTCATTAAAAAGAGACAAACTTTGAACAAAGAGAATTTTATTCCTCAAATAAGCTCTGACAATAAAATGATTCTTAGGTTACTGAAACTATTTAAAATTTGATTCTTCATATTTTTTTTATAATACAGTATTGTCAGTAGTAGAAGTATTAAAACAGTTACTGTATATTCTCTACAGATAGCATTCTACAAAAAGACGATATATCCTGAAACTATAATATGCTATACAATATATAAACAATGCTACATGCTACCAATGAAAGCAGAAAAATCCCGATGAAAACAACCCCGAAGTTTAAAGTATTAGAAAATTTTTATCTCATTAAAAAAACTTTAGATCCAGTTGCATAAACTTTTTGACAATGCTTGTTTTACAGCAAGACTGACAGAATGGCTTTCAAAGAAAGAAAAAAGCATTTACAATTAAAGAAACTTTATAAATTATTCATTATGTTTAAGTATAAAACGTTAAAATTCAGGCTTTAAAAAGTAAGTTCCATATATGTCAACCATTGGTGAATGATAATGAAATACTAATCAAAGAAACTAGATGCATGTTTTAAAACCTTATAGGAAGGGGGGAAATGAGAACTTATTAAATAATGATATTAAGTTCATTCCAAACAAGAAAACTTGATTTTAAGTAATATGCTAATTTTAATCAGCTGTCTGCCATCATTTGTAATAATTTTTGCAAATAAAAATAAACAGTGCCTTTTGTCTTATTTGCAACATGAAAAATTTGAAGGAAGAACATTAGCTTTTTTCAGCTGCATTCCAGATGTTTCCTGCAATATGATTTAAAACATTATAATAAATTATTATATTATATTATTAATGGCCATATATCAGAAAATTCTTCAACGAAATCACATTTTTAACAATTCTCAATTATTAATTATATAATCAAAAGAAAGAGAGTAAAACTCACCTTGATTTAAATATGTCAAAGTCTCTTCATTTATCTTTGTTGAAACTGATGTTGGAGCCATAAGAATACAATGAAATGGCGGTGGTGGCCCCTGATTACCTTGATCAACAGTCTGTGGTGCAGGAACAACTGGAAGTTGCACAACTTGTGAAAGAACAGTGTTTATTACTGACCCAGTTGAATAAAAATGGCTACTTGCACGTACCTCTGGAGTAGATAAATTATGTGGACGGCATCTAATTTAAAGTGAATAAAATATTAAAAGTTCACTATTTTTATAATATATTTGAATATGTTTATGATACAATTACATAAATAGTTTAAAATAAAACGTAATGAAGATAAAATAACACACCGAACAAGTATTAATTTAGAATTCAAACTACAAACAACAATGCGCTAATTAATACAATGCTGATTTTTGTTGTTTGAATTCTAAATTAAAGCATAACGGATTATAGGTTTAACTATGTCTTAAGCAAGATTACACATTCAGTATCAATTTACATAAAAATACTGGAGAAACTCAAAATACTGTGGAGGAAGAAAATATTCAACAACTAGCAAACAAGTAAGAAAGCTAGATTTTTTTTTTAACAGCATGGTTTCTCTGACAGCCACTTTTTTTTGGGGGGGAGGGGATGTTATCATAGGAAACAATTAAAGCTTAGAAATCTCTAGAGCATAACCAAAATAGGACATGGAAGGAGACCAAAACATTAACGAAGAAATTGAAATATGAGAATTGTAAAACCAACAAAGGAAAAGTAAATGCTCCCCCTCCCTGGTAAATAATATCTAAAGAAATGGAATATCTTTCTTAATAGCCTAGTTCTAAAACTGCAAAATGGGAAAAAAAAACCTCAAGTCCAATGTTCAAATATTTTTATCAATTAAAATATGGATCAGTTTAAATTCATGTATATTTGAAGATTAATTTATTATTTTATACTTTTAAATTTACACATTGTAAAATACACTCTTTTGCAAATAAATCGAAGCACAATGAAGGAAGTGGTTGTTTTTGATTAAATTGAATATGTGTATAGCTCATACACAGATAATAAAATGATTAAAAAATCAAGGTCACAGTACATGTTCACGGCTTACAATCACCCATTCAGTGCTCAAATTAGTAGTTGATCGAACTGCTCCCGGCGGCAATGCATGCTTGAATTCATCAAGGCAAAGAGTGGTAGAGGTTCCTAATTTCATCCTAAGACACATTCTGCCAGGCATTCAGCAGTTGTCACTCCAGATCTGCGATATTTTGTGGTGCCCGACAGTGGAGTAGCGAGCATAACTGGCACCCGGGGCAAAATACCATTTTGGCGCCCTCCCCTAAAAAAAAGTGATATGATGAAAATCTTGTTTGGAGACCATTTGGCGCCCCTCTTCGAGCGGCACCTGGGGCATCATACAATCCCTTGCCTCCCCTCGCTACGCCACTGGTGCCCGAATTTGGCGGCCTACCATATTCTAGACATGCTTGTTGGTGAAAAGTCTTGATGACCTTGCTGACCAAGGAAGAGTATCAACCGCACAGAGACTGTCCAGAGATATGCGAGCGAGATGTGGCCTTGCATTATCTTGTTGGAAAATTGCCCAAGTATGACATGCCACGAAGAGTAATGCAACCGGCCGCTGGATGATATCAACATGTCGTTGAGATGTTAAAGATGTACGGAGGATGACTAAAGATGACCTGCTGTCATAAGAAATAGCGCCCCACACCATCACACCAGGGGTTATGGCTGTATGCCTTTGTATAACAAAACTGATTGGGATTGCTAGCCCTGTCCTCTCCAGACACGAACATGGTGATGACCCCCTGCTTTAAGAGTGAAGCGGGATTCATTGCTGAAAACCATACGATGCCAGTTTGATGGCAGCCATGATGATCGGCTGCAACACCACTCCAGACGACTCCGCCAATGTTGTGGGCTCAAAGCGAAATGTCTTAAAGGCCTCTGTGAGCATAACCCTGCCTCAGGCAAGCGCGTCAGATGGTGGACAGTACCACGGTAGGTATAGACGCGGCTGTAGTGCGTTGAATGGTCGACAATGATACCATTGGGATGGTTTGGACCTGGCAAACAATCATCCTATCTAGCCTTGCATTTGTGCTTTTTGGCCTTCCAGAGCCTTCATTTCATTGGCAATTTCTTTGTAGCAACCATTGCTACCAACATCTTTGCATACCAGTGTCTGTACGCTGCAGGTGGCGGCCTGTTGCTCGGTATGACCACCCAGCTTCACGCAACCCTGCAATGTGATCACGTTCGAAATCGTTTAGTTATCTGTACGGTCTTCATTATAATCGTAATGGTATCTTTAGTTGGTGGAATCTTTAGTTGCTTTAGTTATGGAATTACATAGCAGCAACAAAAAAAAAAAAAAAAAAAAAAAGATAAATTTTCCGCCTCTGTTACTAGTTTTATACTTTGTGAATTGCGCACTAGAAATGCGCGCTATGATCGCAATTCCTGTTTATTTGCCTTGAAACTTTGATCATTTACATGTTCAATCAAGATGTTTTTTCATATCAAATTTCATCACGATCGCAAAAGTCCTTCTTGGTGCTTCGATTTTTTTGCAAAAGAGTGCACATCTCAGATAATAAATATAGCTTACAAAAGATAATTTTAATAATGATTAATTAAACTAACATCTTTTAAATCATATCAAAATGCAAGAAGATAGGATCCAGATCACACTACTCTATGTGTCTATCAGCTCAGGCTAGAACAAGGCACTAACATTTTTAGCTGAATTCAGAATGTTGATAACTCTTTCAATATGAAGGGAAACTGTACATTAAGAGTTCATTTTTTTTTTTTTATCAGACAGCTGAAGCGGAGCTTTAACATGTCATTCTGAAGTGGTTGAGAAAAACTGTTCATCATAAAAAGCTCATCAGAGGAAGAATAAACAGTTGGGTTATCACAACAATGCACAGTCACAGCGTCCTGAAGATGCAATACTTTTTGATGGAAACAAAATTTACAGTGGCACGTACTTCGTTACAAGCCAAATTTCGAACACTATGATAATTAAGAACATTTTCTAGGTCCAAAGTAGAAGTTAGTAGTTTTAAGACAATAATCTATTTTTCAGGGTGGTTGACAGATGGTACAAGACACAATTGGACAATTACAATCACTTCATAAGCCATATAATTTGTATACAAAGTCAGAAAGGAATTATTCTGGAGAGGGCAGAGACAACATTTAATTCAGACATGTTCCTTTTTTGGTTGTCCTCTTCTAGCTCTATTTTATCAACGATGTTTGACTCTTCCAAATTATTACAGTTCCATAATCTAAATGGCACCAAGATTATTGATAAATTGCTCACATATGTTGCAAACTTTTGCCAAAAGACTGGCAATCTTAATCACAGTCCTATTGGCTCCTGACTCCAAACTAATCTTTGTAATTAGAACTCTGTTTCTTTAAATAACTTTAATGCACATTTTTTAATTCGAAAATAATATTTACTAAAGTTTTTAGCAAATATAAACAATTCTTATAATTGATTTGGTCCATTTTGATGATTGACTATAAGTTTGATAAGAACGTTTTGTTATAAAGCAGTTGTTTGGTGTGGAAAAGGTAATATATCCAATTTTATTGTGTTAATTACCATAAAAGCAAACAGTTAACCATAAATTAATGTATAATAAGTGTTTTTGTAGCTTGCTTAAAAAGTTATCTGATAATGAACGACTTTGACAATTTTGAATATGCTAATTTATCAGAAAGTTTCAATGATGAAAGTTATGATCTCGTGAGTGATGGAAGTGAATCTGAAGCTAATGTTGCCAAGATTTCGGCATTAGCAACAAATCAGTATCAAATTAGCACAAATCAAAAAATAACTTGCACTATACCTATACATTCATTTTCTGTAAAAAAAAAAATAAAAAGACACGCATCTCACGTATGGTGCTGCTAATGGGAATGGAAGAGCAGCGCTACGGTTGTACCAGGAATGGTTTCCGAACAGGCATATGCCAAAGCACACAATGTTCGAGAGGTTGCATCGGTCTCTGTGTGAAAACGGGCCACCTTTGACACTAGGAGTGGAAGAAGTGCGCAACAACCTTGGATTGAAGAATACATCTTGAACACTGTGCATGAATCACCTCAGACAAGTACAAGAGCACGTCGTCTGCAGCTGAGTCATTCCACCGTTTGGAGAGCATTGCATGAAAATGGTTTGCACCCATACTATTTGCAGAGAGTCCAAGCCTTGCAAGAGACAAATTACTCTCTTCGAGTTCATTTCTGTCATTGGTTCTTGCAGCAGTGTGCGGCGCAGGCGGATTTCCCATCGGATGTACTATTCACGGACGAGGCAACTTTCTCACAGGATGGCATCTTCAATAGCCAGAACATGCACATGTGGGCAACTTATAATCCACACGGCACACGTCCAGATGCATTCCAAACCTGCTTCTCCGTGAATGTGTGAGTGGGTATTGTTAATGACTACCTCAGAGGCCCATACCTCTTACCTGCACGTACAAATGACTTATATCATATTTTTCTGCAAGAAGTGCTACCGGAATTGCTACGGGATGTTCCGGCTGTCGTTTGTGATCGCATGTGGTTCCAGCATGATGGTGCACCAGCCCATAACCACGTGCGGGTCCCTAATTACTTGGATGGGACATTTCTGGGCCAATGGATTGGCCATGGTGGACCCATTCAATGGCCACTTCGTTTGCCAGATTTAATCCAGCTTGGATTTTTTTTTATGAGGCCATCTGAAGAGCATCATTTACGAAACTCCCGCTGACTCACTGGAGGACCTCGTTGGCACGACTATCTGTTGCGGCTGCAAGCACGCGCGAAATGCCTGTCATTTTTCAAAATGTTCGTCAATCCCTTCTGCGACGTTACCAAGCATGTATTACTGCTCGTGGTCGCAATTTTGAACATTTATTGTAAATACTGTATTGCCACAAAGAAGCACATTGCGTTGAATTTTGTACATAAAACATTTTTTCCTCTCGTGTTCTTTCTTATGTTCCTGCCTTAATCTGTCACTTTAGACCCTATACTTCTATAAAAAAAAAAATGCATGTTTTAGTACGCTCCACCACCCCTCCAAGTTTGTCCCATAATCTTTGAAACACCCTGTATACTTATTAAGGGCTTTTATCCTGATATGCAAAATACTCCAGGATATTATCACAAATACACAGAGGTTAGTGTGGTCATACAAAAAG